GATCGTATGACAGTAAGATCAGCTCACTCTAAAACGTGTTCAGGTGCGTGATGGTGCTTGGTCGTAGTCTGGCTGGTTGTAACTGTCGGGCGGTAATTCGTTCATTTCCCGTAGAAGGTCACATTAGAGAACTGTCGTAATATTTTTGTCTCGCGCGTAACTCATTTGTCGTTTTCATTTTCCTATAGCCAGTTTTTGTTTGGATAGGCGACAACGGTCGCCGGTCAGCGTGTAGCGACAGTACCTGATAGAGTTTTAAGCGACTTAACAACGCTATGGGAATTTAAAACAAAGGAAATAAGCCAGGGAAACCGCTATGTTTTAGGCAAGAGTAAGGAAATATTATGTATAAGCATCATATTGTCACCTAGAATCATAACCTCGCTTATATATAAGCTAGTTATATTTACGAGCTATCAGTTCATTCCTTGACTCTAGCAAACGCAGCCTTATTCAGACAGCTGTTATATAGCCGAAACCTTATCTGGTAGTACATTCACTGTATCTATGCAGGACGCATTTATATACTGGCTTCACTAATTCTGTGATATTTTTCTAATAATAACGCCATTTCTAAGCTAAACTTAACCAGATCTCTTTAGGTCTGCTTTTTCTACGTCATTATGTTAATAGCAACAACAACTGTTGATCGTCCTGCCGCTGCCGTTAGATGCAACAGGCAGCGCTTCGAGGTTTTAACAACTTACTTGCAATGGTTTTCGTCCTACCACTATCGGGCGTATTTAGTCTTCACAGATATGTTCGTGGCCTTGGTGATGTCTCGTGCTGCTGAGGCGTCCTATAGCGATGTACATGGACCGACAGCTGAGCAGATGTTAGTCCTAATCCCGTCCTTTGCGCGCAGATGACACTGCCAATGAATAACGGACGATGTCGTTGCTATTGTCGATGATGATGATGACGATAATAATGGGGATAGCGACGACGCTTTGCAACGACTACCAATTACAAGGGTGTTATATATAAATTAAGCGAGAAGTAAAGGAGAGGGCGATTCTAGGGATATGGCATATAGTTTAGGGGTGCAGCGTCGTGTGCTACCGCTTTACCGTCGTGTTTGTATAAACACATCTAGAGTGTATGCATGCCTGTCTGTGCATGCATAGATAGACATGTATGCATAGAGAAAACTCGTGGGAGCAGGAGGGTCTGCAGGAGGCAGCGACATAGACGCAATACATGTACTATAGTGTTCATTGTAACTACTGTTAAAGATCGTCCGGCTCGGCTTCTACGCATGGAACCAGCCCAGTTTCAGTGAATCGGGCGTAGAAGCAGGAACATACAAGTTAGGACATGGGTTGTGCCTTATAATCGGAGATTTCAAACACATCTGTTGAAGTCGAGATTGGCGCAGGATTATCGACTGACAATAAGCTCACGTGCTCGTCATGCAGTGAATGGCTTTGTCTTGACACTGCCCTGCGTGCTGGTATAATTAATTCGGTGTACTGAGACAGTAGAGTTCGTAAATGACGGGTATCCATATGTACATAGATAGAGACGGTCCTTCACTTGTATGTGAAGCTTTTTACCGTATTATCCCTGGACAATTTTCAAAGATTTTAAAAATAGATATCATATAGATACAAGAATAGATTTAGCCTATCAGGCACGATGCGGTACGCTGTGTCATTCCGCTTATTCCGTACAGCTACCGATTGCTGGCCGCTATATGACGGCAATGAACATCCCGTCGGGAATCGTAGGTCGTCATGCGCGTGTATATGTTCATGTGCTTTTCATGTTATGTAGAATACGGATTAGTTGTAGAGAACTTGGCATTCAAAAAGAGCAGCGGGAGAGCGTAAGAAGGACTTCGATCCACCTGAATGTCCTGAGTTCTATGTCCACTCTCGCCGTTAGACGTTCCATCCGACTGATCTACCCAGACGGATGGATGGTCCGACTAACTAAGCAGATATTCTATATATATATCATTTGTCGAATTATGACCAATATCAATCAATGTGCAAAACAATTAATAACAAGGGTTAACGTACACGTATTGCGTATAGCAGTTCGCATATACGTATAGGTGAACATATCCTTGTCGAGAAAGTATTAACCGTCTTTTTTTCTAGCTAAATGGCCTCAGAGTCACGTGTTTCAGGCAGTGTGGCCCGGGTTGATAGTGATATGATTCGAAGGCTGAGACTAAGCAGTAGTAGACGTACTAACGTTGATGAACTGGCTTAATTCAGATTCAAGATCGAGCGCCTTGCTTATAATTTCATCACGATGAAAAGACAAATTCTGCTCTTTATGGCCAAGATGCGTTATCGGAGCAAACGGCTTTTTCGAAACGGAAATTTCGATGCGAGGAACTCTACAAAAAGAGTTCAGCACTACAAAAAGTGCTGATTCAATTACGAAAAGAATCCATTATTCAAGAAAGAACTAAGCAAGTAAGCGTCCAGCATTAAACATTCGAAGGAAAGTTGGCTACAAGAAGACCCTCGACGCTGGGATGCAATGAGAATGAATGCAAAAAATGAATTTGGCCATTGCTGAAACTTTCGAGAGAAGTGACGAGATCGAATCGTCCTTAAAGTGGCCTACCACAACTAATCGCTTGAACGTTGCCTTTGAAACGGCCACTGCTTTTTTGGACAATTTAGTATTTTTCTGTAGTAGTACGAGCAAAACGCTGATTTGTACCAGATTTTTCAGTCCTTAACATGCGTCGAAAATAAGTTGAACTTTAATAGACAAAAGAATGAGTCCCAATGAAATGTACGTTTAAATTAATTAAATAATATTACCGGTAAAGGGCATACTATCCCAGGAGAGTTAATAGTATTCAATACACATAGAAAGTACACGAAGATGATTTTGTAGTTACTGAAACATCAATGCATGACTATCTAGAATGCCGGCCGCACTAGGGAACGCATCGTTCTTATACATATTTCATAGAACGTTGCACGCGACGGAAATGATTCATGCGTCAAATTTTCATAGACATATAGCATATAAGTGTGTCGACGTGGACATAGGATTTAGCGTGCTTATAAATTACGGTACACAACATAACAAAAGTCCGTTCAGCAGCAGGAGCACGCTTATCATGCCTTCGTGTAACGGCCCCGATTATGCTCAAGTCATTCTACAGTAATTTTTTACTAGCTGTAGGAGACTGAGCTGAAGGCAAAATATTGTGTGAGCATTTCGGCCGTCGTCAACATTTTGAGCTCATCACGACCGTGCGTCTCTTGCAAGAAACCCGGGATTGCCGTATCCTATCATGGGTCAAGTTATTCAGTGAGCGTTCTATTGTTGTCGGTATCCATCTGTTTCCAAATCAGCTCGCGCAGAGAGGACAGTAATGGCGATCGACTGCTGACCATCCCGGGTCCGGCGACTCGTCCAAAAGCTTCTTTTCCACATTTAACGTGCCATCTGATCTGTTCATAGGAACAGGATTATTCTACAAGGATACTCGTATATACACAGGAAGAAGAAGACAATGTCGGGTGATCATATCGAGAAATTGTGTCCTGTGGTAGTAAAGAATAATTTGTTTAAAATATAAAAATGTGACAAATTTACTTGTTGACAAAATTACGTACCCCAGAAGTTGGAAATTATCTCCAAAGATCGGTCAGTGACATGCATTGTTTGTTTTAATATTTAGCTAAAGACAGGCGTTAGATTGACTCTGTAGAGTTCAAAATTGAGTTATTTTTTTTATTAGTGGGATTGGTGGGAAGGTGTCTATAGTATTTGGTAAAGCTACGGTAGTAGATAAGCCAAGTTTCGTTGCACAAAGATGGAGCAGTAGATGTGCTCAGAGTTCGGGTAAGTTAAAATTGTCTTTTGCAAGGTCCAACAACAACAACAATTTTTTCCGATAAAACTATCCGCGACAATTTACGGACCCATTTCAATAATGTCAACGGTTTTTTATATCGTTGCTTTGTCGTCAGACAGTTGTAAATAAATAGAGGTCTACTGGAAACAAACGAAAAAGCATCTAGATGTAAATTTTAAAAAGCTTATCGACATAAACGGAGAAGTGTTTTGGTTTATGTTTTTAATGGCGCGGTGTGGTCTGGCTAGCTAATGCACGTGTTTTCGAGTGCGTTGCTATTGTGATAATAACTAACAAGCCTGCTGTCGTGCTGGTTCAAATCTCAACGTTGGCAAAAATTAGGAAGGCAAAAGAATTGGGGAAAAAAGAAAAACTCATGTAATGGTTACTGTGCCGTTTCATAGACCAGCGAGACCAAGCCTGGTTAGGTCTTTTGTGGAGGGCAGGTCCTTGACGTTATACCTAAAAGAGGCAATTTCAAAAGCTTCACACAGAAAGAATAACCGAAGGAGTTAAAAAAGAGAAAGAAAAAAAGAAGCTGATCTACTTGCACCTCATAGCCATTAAAAAACACTGTGACCACGTACAAACACCCTGGTAAATATCGTCTTAAAAGAAAACAGCTTTTGATTTCAACATACAATTGCAAAATTTATTATGTTCTCCACTTTTCCTCTGACCTTATATACTTCATAATCGACGTCTTGATATCGTCGTAGTTCTTCCTTGTCGCGTCCTTTACTTCGCCATTATCAGCTCGTCGCATCCTCATCATTTCCCGTATTATTACCGTTACACCCCAGATATATATCTTCATTGCCGTCACGGGCATTCCTACCGTAATGACCATCAGTATCTTCATCCTTTTCCTCTTTTCTCATTGTTAATATTATCATCATTATTATTATTATTATTATCATTATTATTATCATCGCTTCATTATATGGCGTCAGTGATGTAAGCATGTAATAATTAGTCGGTAATATTTCTATATATGTGTCCATGATCTCTGTTTACCACATATTCGCTTGAAGAAGAACGGAAGGGGACAAAGGGGTCAAGCAGATTTCTAATTTTAACTGGCTCCCATGGTTACGGTTATTCTCGCCACCTGTGTCTGCTTTGATGTCCATGAATTAAGTGCGCTCGAGCACTTTTATCCTTCTATATATATATATATATATATATATATATATAGCTAGGTAAAAGAATCTTCTCCCTCGAGACTCGGTTTCAAGCTTTCCAATAGGAGAGGAAGATTTCCTTCACAATCATTGTAAGCTGGTCATAATGGCGATGATCATTATCACCATCCCTTCCATATTATATAATATGTATTTCACAAGGAAAGAGGCATATGAGTGTGTGTGGCTATGTGTTATTACAATTGTTTCTATGTTAATTCCTTCGGTCGAGTTGTGATGTATCCGCTGCTTTCTAAATGGTTCCCCCTTCCCGAGTGCATTTCCCTGTTTTTTACTGTGGCCCATTTATGTTTGTTTACGCGCGTCGTTTGTCTTTTATTTAATCGGCGTGCATTGCGTAAAACCGATTGTTGATTAGCGGCTAATTTGCTTCTTCTGGCGTTCTCTCAACGTCTCTCTTTCTTTCCCCGTTCGTTGTTCGGGTTCGTCCTTGTCAATAGTTTACATCGGGATCAAACAAAGGCCAGAAGTTGTATTTATAGGTGAACGGTCCCATCCCGTTTCTGACCTCGAACGCTTTTAAACATAAGCTGATCAATGCGTTATTATCAGCAGAATATCGTTTGTTGATTCGTTCGTTGTGATTGCGTTTCAATGGCAAACAAAATTACTTTCCATAAACTTTTTTTTTTGTCTTGTTATTCAGTTGTCTATATCGTTTCTGGTGCATATGTCTACACGTCTTTAATTCTACTCGCTTGTTCTGTGTGTGATCCAGTTTTATCTGTGCGCCGGGCAGCTTTCTAGTTTAGGGAATAGTTTTGTTCTTAGAACGGTTTTGAACACGATCATTCTCAACATCATTGCGGTGTATGCAGGCCCTCCTCCGTCTTCATGTATGATCGTGTCGATGTTTTCTTTTTCCTCGACCAATAGGTATATGTTATTGAGACCACCATAAGCGGAGCTTCAGTAATATAGCTTTCCCATACATGCATCCATACATACCATCATAATTATTATAAGGATTTGTGTCATATGTTACCATTCGACTGTCATATGCGCTTAAGAAGTGCGCGGGTTTTTCGCTAATTTCGAATGTAACACAGCTTCACTGGCTCTTAGCAGCTGTCGTACAGTTGACACTGGCTTGGCTACATGGTTTATGATCAACTAAATTATTTGAGAAAAAATGTCTACTAGATACCAGGTATTCGCATTAAATTAACAGCTCTGTCCATCCTCGCATTGGTCTACGCAAACAAGATCCGCGCAGACGTTCGACACGCATATACATGACCGCTTCCTTAAGCACTCATGCACAGCCATAAACTGTACATCGCACATATCATTTTTACCCTTATAGACCACTTTATTCTCACCAGTTGGGGAAAGTTCTCCATATCCTTTCCGGTTACGCTAACGATATTATATCTACCTTCAAAGATCCCGCTGCACAGTGTATGCCGCAGAGTAGTACCTGTTTCACCATCCGTTTACGTAACTGAACCTCCTAAAGACGTTCATATTGGTTGCCTAGTACTTGTCCCTAGTCGCCTTTGCTTTTTTGCTCCGTAATCTCATCTGTATAAGGATACATGCACATATACTGGCGTATAAGCTTTGAGTGTTCAAGATCACTATTGCGATCCTTTCTGAGAGAGTTCACGTCTCGCTACTAAGTTCGGCCGTGGTCGGCGGCCGTACAGCTAACTGCACATGACCACCCTAAGCAGACGGTCACTGGTTACCAGCTAATCTATGTATACCTCCATAGGAACTACAGACGAATGTATCGCTAGCCTGCAGTTCGAAAGCGTGATAGCTGCTGTCCACCGATCACTCCGCCTATTTAAGGCAAAGCCATTTTCGACGTGCACTAGTAGTAGTCCATAATAGTCAGCCTACCTATTATACGCACGTGCTCGATTTTATCCCGTTCCGACACGACAGCGAGCGACATTTCCCCATTACCTTTGCTCGCTAATTTTTACGCCGTTAGAGTAGATTATACTGTGGTTGTTGCGTAATGATAATTAGTTGTATCGAGGATTAGCTTTTACGCATACTCAGTGCTCTGTGCATATTCTAGCAACTGCCTAGCTGCTACTCCCTCCATCGTCACCGGCCGTCGTGTGATTATATAGTCCTGCAAAACAGAAAAAGTAAAATCTATTCGGTATTGTTCGTTACGGTATTTTATAAATATTGCAACTATGACATGTACAGCGATCATAATGACTGTGTAGGAGTCATTTAATATCTGGCATGATGGAGGGCATTATCATTCAGAGTCCGTTTGGTTCGTTTGACGAGCGTCAGAATTAGTTTTTAATAGGTTTGTTGGAGATCGTCCTGAGCGTGACCACTATGTCCAAGAACAAGAAAAACACGAGGAACTATTATCATGTAGCATTTGTTTTAACACTAAGAGTTATGTACGTTGTTCAATGTTGATGATGATCCTCTTCCGTACGTGCATTTTCACGCGATGTTTTTCCTCCGATCAGTATTTTTTTGACGGTACTTCTACGATCAATTGCTTTTTGTCATGTGTCTCCTTCGCTGATCATCGATTTTCGAGTGAACAACTATATATCTCGATATAGTTGCTTACAAGGTCTACTATACGGACTGTGAATCTGTTTCGCTTCCATTGCATTTTATCTCCTCGCGTCAAAGGCCAAATTTCGGTATGGTCTGTCCCTAAGCAGTAAGTACTACCATCAGCCATGATTCAATCATCACTAATAGAACGTCAGCATGTAAACACAAGGCCGTCTCATGACTGCCTTATGAATGGAATGATGCCTGTCAAATTAGTGGAATTGGTCCTTATAGTCCTATGGTTGAACTCACAAATAGACGAAAGAACGACTCGATTTAACCAGAGTCATAATCCTCGGCGGACGGAATCGTCTGGTTCTATTGCGTAACAAGGGAGTCTGGTGAAGACGAATCGACACTTTGACGATTCAGATTATATCAGTTTAAATCGATAGAATTCGGTTACGTCTTCTTGATAGACTGTTATGTCACTAAACAACATCGACATATTTATCTATAGCTATCAGGCCCTCCCAACAGATCCTACAGATCAAGATGTACGCAATGAGTACATCTATCCGTCTCTGCCAGCGACCTAGCGGGCGTGCTTATGAGATCTACTAGGATTTTCGGTACTTCAAGGAAACAGCCGGATCATACCACGAACGGCAACCCAGTTGTTTCTTTTTCTTGAATTACAGCTACGATGGCTTGCCCATCGCAGCTGAAACAGGCGCTAGTTACTCAACATCATTTTCATCAGCGATTTTCAACAGTTCCTCGTTGTGTGAGTACGGAAAAAAGAAATAAACTTAATTAAATTCAGGGGACAAAGTGACATTCCATTTTAATAACAGATAAACTAGTGACTGACTAGACGTAACTTACGGATACAGATATCTTTCATCCAATGAGTAATGGGAAATACATGACAGAAGATAGGATGACTAATAGCAAATGAGTGAGCATGTATCATTTGGTTACATTGATTACCTTGAGCCATGAGCTCCAACGCGAGCGGATTAGGTCGTCCCGTAGACTTTTTAAGCTTGGCGCGTTTATTTTGGAACCAAATCTTAATCTGAGACTCATTCAATCCTAGTTCCGACGCCAGGTCCTGTCGACGCTTTTCTGTCAAGTATCTGAAAAGCAAGGTAGGCCACGACAAACACACATACTAACATTTAGCATATCTATATTTCGTTCAGCTTGAACATTGACGCTTAAGATGCTCGACAATGGCTAACTAAGACTACAGTCGGGTTCCATTCGGAATATTCTCGATCTACCACCATTCCATCTATGGATAATTAGCTACGAGATAATGAAATCGACACTTATTTTGTTTGTTGCGCCTCCATTTCGTCCGCTCCTGGAGCTCATCAGATACTTATTATCTACTGAGATATGCATGTATTATTGATGTATACTATATTTGTTAGATATGAATCATTATCATTGTGGCTGTAGATACACGAAGGTTGAGATGGTGTCCAACGGTAGCACGAATAGCTATTTGTTTAGAGCCTGTGAGATGTTTGATGTCATGCAGTACTCCTACTTTATAGTACTGTTTCGCAACTGTTATTAACTACGATGCTGTAAGGCTTGGCCCAGTGTCGATCGATTTTGATTTATTAAAGCCCATTTGCAGCTATCTCATTTGTAATTTCTTTTCTAAGACAATAGAGGTTCATATATATATATATATATATATATATATATGCTCATTAGGTTAGTGGCGTAAAGGAAAGACAACGCTCTACGGTCGTGCATATTAAATAATAGCAGGCAATACCTGTGTTACAACAAGCGTTATAAAGGGAAGACCCAAGAGATACGATCAGCCTCGTAGCTAATTTATTTCTAACGATTGTCTCTCGAAGCGGGCGCTTCGATTTCGGCTGGATCCCACTATTTTACTGTTGCTCCTAATTCAGCAGGGGGAACGTTCTCGTCCTGCTTACTAGAGTAACCCCTTTTCTATCAGCCCCATTCAGTTTTCATGAAGGGACCTGAGGTCTGCCAAACACTAACGGACATCGATATTGACTAGCATGTCGGAAAATATGCAACCGACCGCCATCGGATCGTTGATATAAAGAGTTTTCTCTTTTGCGACGAGTCTGTGCCGTGATTTTGATTTGGTTAGCTAAACATGCATTAGATGGTCAGACAATACGAAACGCCGGCGGCAATCGTATTCCCAAAAAGTAGCCGTAATGTTATTACCTCTATACAATAAGTATTTGATTCCCGAAAGTGGATCCGTCTTGCCACTCAGCCAGAGACTCTGCATAATAGATATAACCATAACATGTGTACGGATGCGTGTGTCGGATCTATCTGAGTTTGTCTGGTTAATAAAAACAACTGTGTATCGCATCACAACCCAGCCCAGCAGTTTCCTACGTGGTCAAACAGAGTCCACCGGTATGGAGGGCGCCTATATGCCCACTACCGAGAAAGCGTCTAAGCGTCTCGTATACCAACCAAATATATAATCGTTTTAGAGGTTGCATATATTTGCATCAATGATACTGCTGCCACTGTCTCGTCCTCAGATAATTAAAATATGCCCTTTTGGAATATTCCCCGATATAATAGTTATTATATGAGCGACGGCACATATTTTTATGCGTCCTTCCGAAATGTAGATATGCGCGTTTGCGAATGTTTCACTTTAACATAACTAGTGTGAGGCTAATTTTGTTGCCCTTATCTCTATTGTAGTAATAGAAGGGCGGCGGTATTGGTTATAGAGGACGGTTCGGACGTAGGTCGACTCTTTATGGAAATCGCACCCTTACGGAACGGAATCTTAATGGACACCATATAAAGGAAACATGCGGGATGATTAATATAACCGTGCCTTCGGAGCAATAACGAGGCAGGCAGCGTTCAATAGTTCAGGCTCCGTAAGGTGCTTCATGTCCTGCACAGGGAGGGCTACAAAGCAAACAGGTTTCTGGTGCTTTAGATCGTCAATGAAAATTGTTACCACCGTCAAAAGCTCAAATCAAACAGAGGCGACAGACAAAAGTGCCTTAATCTTCCCATTTGAGAAATTCGCCTAGGATACTGCATTGTCAGTTCCTCAGTCAACATCAGTCAGATACGAGTTAACAAGACAAATGCACACTGGTAAATTTCGCCATTGTTTAATTTTTCCCTAGATTCTAGAAGTCGGCAAAGTTCCTTAACGAATACGTTATTACCGGTTGTCCTGGAACTCTTTCTTGAGTCGCTGAAGCTGTTCGGCGGTAAAGGCTGTTCGGGGACGTTTTTCATCAGACTTCTCCTTACGTTTCGTCCTCTTTGACCGGGGACCTGTAATTGTAGAAAACGAGAAACACAAAAACATACGTTTATTATATGAATGAATTCACAATATTGTAGCTATCGACATCATTACTACAGCACTGCTATTTAACCGATCACTGTAAGAGTCGCCTGGGTTGTTTTTTTCCATGTTACGCCCCATTATTCTATTTATAATAGTTTATTATAAAAGATCTTTGGCTTTTTTTTTTAACGTATTCTAGCGACAACAACAACGACGACTCCGCTTCCCCAAATGCATTAGATATCCAATGATTTCAAGGTGTTTATGAGCTAACCTATCTGCCCATAATATCCATATGTATGTATGTACATACACCGCATGATTCGGATTCTATCAATTCAAATTGTCTTCCCTGTTCTATAGCAACTGGTGGATTCTCAACGATCAGCCTTCCACCTAAACATCCCTCAGTGTCTGTGGATTTAAATCTATGCCCTTTTACCTTTTAGGCGATAATACCGTGCCTGAGGCTAGCAGCGAGCAATGGTATGGAAGAATATTTATACACATACGTTACGTCGCTCACATCGTGTCCCCATATCGTTCCACTGACGATCGAAATCGCTCGGATAAGCGAGAACCGCGATCTCGCAGCTGTTTGTTCGTTCATACGTTTGTTCTAGCTGGCAGAGCCAGTTGCATCAATATATCTTTCTCTCTATGTTATTAGCAGGATAGCGACAGCGGCGGCAAATGCTGTTCACTTCCTCGATATTTTCGAAGAAAGCCCCTAATAAAGGCAAGGCCGAGTCGGAAAGGCGGCAGAGAGAAGAGTTTAACGTGCAGACTTTCCCTGGTAGATAGCAATACAATAGGATTGATTACAATCATTTTTAATCAAAAAAGAAAATCCAGTAAACGCGAAATAGTGATGATGGAAAGAGACACGATCAAACAAACGGGACGGGAATACCCGCGAGGCAAAGATTTTATACGAAGATATTATGTAGCTTTGAGAGCCGAGAAAACGCGAACCATGCGATACGTATATATATTTTATTACGATTAATTAATATCGAAGAAAAATCAATGGCCAGATCGATACGTGTGGTATGCGTGGCTTTGGGAGAACGACGCAAGGGACAAGAATAGAGCTTGACGAAAGATATTCTATGTTTTAATAATCCCATTTATATTTTGATAATTATCATTATATACACGAAATTGTAGTCGGTGTTGTTACTGTAATAAAAATAATAATATAAACATGAATAACAGTGGCATTAGGCTAAAAGAAAATGTTCACGTAGGCATTTTTAGTTGTAGCTGATTTCATCCTTTGTTTGCGACCAGAGACGGAGACACGCGCATCGTGTCACAGATTACCTGGTCGGTCTACCGTACTCTCTCAAGAGGCCTTTACAAGTGGATGTCTTGGAAAACAGAATGAGGCTTTTTTTGTTACCAGCAATTCCGCGGAATAGACGTTGAAGGCATACAAATGGTCGTAACAATTGTAATAACAGGGATTGTTAGTAAAGTCAGTCAAAATGCAGGAGAAACAAACACAAGCTTTTGTATTCGCTGTTACTAATCGTTTTGTTATTATTATTATTCCTCCTTTCAAAATGTGGGATTGTGTTTAATGTTTATATAGGCGTAGTCGGTCAAGTATAGCAACATAGTATTATTATACATTGTTGTTAGAAAAAAGTTGTGATGATCTGCGAACGACGCTAGTTGAACGTGGAATAGTCGCATTTGTTGGCCCACTACATGACTCGGTTAGGAGTTTTCATTATGCGTCTCCGAAAGGCAAGCCGACGACGCCAAATGAAAGTGTAAAGTAGATTTTTCACTACGAGAAAAAATTCCTGCTCGTTTCATTCACGGACATGTGAATGAGCCGGCGGCTACGAAATAAAACGTAACCTTTATCTGTTACAACGCCGAAGTGAATACCCATACACGAAGGACTATCGCTTGTTTCACTGCATATAAGAACAATGTTATATAATGTGAGCTCATTTAGAAACAAAGCAATTCGCGTTTGCAAACAAAGCAATATCCTTTTTCGTCTGCTCTCCCGGTCTCTATATACGACAAAGCTCAGGAGTAAATGAATGCACTAGAAAATAAATTTAACACCGCCCTCTACCGACCATCATTTTCTATAAAATCGTTTGTCACTACTCTTTCAGATATTCGCTTGCCAGCCTTTCGATTACATAACTATCTCAAGACAAAAAGACGATTATAGATACATAAAATTAAGTCGTCTTGGCTATGTGCAATAGTAATCTTTGCTACCATCGAACGTCCTTCTGGAAAATTCAATTCATTTTTAATTAAGAAGCACAATATCACTAATTTGATATGAGAAATTGCTCCACGTTAATAGAAACCTGTAATGCAGGTCGTTAGATATCGCCCTTGTATCTTCTAATGAGCATCAACCAGCAGAGGCTATCAGATCGTAGTTATAATATTTACTATATCTGTTCTTGTTACCAAATAAAGAGGATTTGCAACAAATTTATTCAATGAGTAAATCAATAGCAGATGACGACGAACAAAATGTCCATTGGAACTTCGCTGGTCAAAGCTACGAGGATCAGCAATCGCTGGTGTATCAGCCTGCGGTTGATGGCTATAAAGGTCACTATTAATTACTATACATTTGTCTCAGACTCTAGAATCCACGCGTCTTCGTATCTGCCGGAAGTGATATGGTTTGTATTAGTTCATGGGACACGGCCATGTATGTAGGCCAAGTTTCAATAACACATATATTCCGGGTCTAGCTACCTGACGAGTCCGTCTGTTTGAGCATTTTTTCGATTTGTCTTCGTGTAGTCGACGACAGACGAATCATTATAGGTTTACGCTGATAAAGTGGTGTCAACTTCTTCCTGGACGGGCCTTATCTAGTTTGTTATAGACAAGCTTTTATGCGACCATGAAACTGTGTCTCCGCGATTAAGCCTGTGTGCGACGCTATTCGACAAATACTTGGTCTTCGATAATCATTTATTTCCAGCTTGTATTCTACAGTGGAGCATGCTCGCTCGAGGACCAACGCTATAGAGTCGATTGTCACTTTCGCACTGAGGAGACATTGCTTTGTTGGCTGTCACGTGACAGAATTTGTTACGTTCATTCGAAGTTGAAGTTACCGTTCGCGGCGGAACCGCGGCAGCAACACCAACAGTAAACTCGCATTGCTACTGTTCCCTTCGTTTCTTAGGACTGTTTGAATCAATCGGCCGATGTTTTCTCCTGATTAAAGTGGAACGCATTATTTTGTAATACGTCTATAGACAGAAACTTGTACAGATGTAGTTTATCTGGAGTATAAATGTGCGCATGCAAAAAAAAACGTCGTTTTACGTCTCTGTGGCAGCAGTGGCAAGTATACTCGGCGTTCTGCCGACACTCGTCTCTACTACGTGGAACATATCTACTATATACCCTTCTATAAGTTCACTATATTACGCTGTTCTTGTGCTACACATGCCAAATACTATGGGTACATTTGCTTCAGCGGTCTGCACACCTGGCCCAACTGTTGCACGCGTACGTGCCGTGTAGGCAGGAAACTACCAGCGTCCAACTAGACTATGTTTGCAGGACCCAGGTTAGTGAATTCAAAAGCACGAGTGCTTGCTTGTGTTCGTATGACACACGTTGCTCCGTCGCGCGTATACGTGTGTGTTTAGCGGAATATCAGAAATAGTCAATACAAACTGGCTTATGTGTGTTTACGGCATCGATTTGTATGGGGTCCCGCTCGCTACTTACTAATAACACTATCGCAGCCGAAAAGTGGAGCTCATAAAGATAATCTGCAAACGCCCTTTTCTCTTCTTTCTAGCAGCTCGAAGCTCGCGCTTCTTCGACTGTCCACCCTTGTAACGCATAGCTTTCGTAACCTGAGCATACGTTAGTTAGTTAGCTAACCTACTTCGAAACACCTTTTAGCTACCAGCCAAAAGGCAATTCCCCAGAATAGCTAATCCGGATTACATTCCGCATCCGATCCTCTCGGTCAGCCGCTTACTGAATCACATATTTACTTCCCATTATTTGCTCCGTCACCAATTGATTCAAGCAAATCGGAAAAAGTACAATGCTTTTAATAATTTGACCAGCCTGAGTGAGCCAATCGCTTACGCTTCATGCATCGACAAAGAACATAAAAAAGTTAATTGTTAAAGCCAGGTCCAAGCCTGCTTAAAATGCGTAGTTTGCTGTGCGTATGTACGCGATGATGCTGCGATGGCGCGTCCTGGGCGGTTCGGTCGCTCAAGCCTATTGGCCGTCCCTAGCGCCGCCACAAGCTGCATTTGGCCTGTCTCACGTCGCTGCCGATCTGGTGCCTCTTGGGCGCTCTGGTAAGGTGAAGTCAGTCTGTTTCTCCTTCCTTTGGCTTTCGCTAACGCCGCCTGATGTGGGTGCTTCGCCTGTGGCCTCACATCTTCGCCGCTGTCGCCGATGGACGACGGATACTGTTGCTGATGCTCACTTCGATGGTTATTTCATACTAATCGTCGTTGTGAGTGCCATTATAGGATCGTAGTAGAGCTGTTCACTGTGCTCAGAGCAAAAATAATTTGTATTCGAATATAAACGTCTTTATGTTCTCTCAACGAAGCGACGTTCATGTGTTTATTACAGTATTGTTCATCATATCTTACTCATGTGAGGGCTTGCGCCAAGACGACGGGACAGGATGGATCGAGGGAAAGAGACCTAGCTGCGATCAAAAACTTATAGCTGCTGTTGCCCCCCAGTGTCAGAAATATGCCTGTCCATGCATGTGAATTCACCCATGTGAAGAGCATAAACAGGCCCGGTGCTGGTAAAAAACGCTGATAAATGCAATTCGGGGCACTTTGGGTATCACCACTTAAATTTTAATGTGCCTTACCTATACGACACATGCACATAGAAGAGTACGCACCTCCCACATGTTTTTTAGCATTATTGATGCTTCGTCTCTTTGAATGTTTTCGGTAAAAGTAGAATGATAAAATGCCGAGAG